TGGCCCCCCCCCCCCCCCCCCCCCTCTCTCTAAGATGCTGAAAGTTGCGACATTCGAACTAATATTTCTCTCAAAGTATTAAAGTGTGTAAGAGATTAATAATTCGCTTGAATTGGAATTAAATGCTTTATTTAGGGAAGGTTATTGCACCATTGACAGAAGAACTTAGAGAAATTCTGTTAAATTTCCTGAAATAAAAGAAGTAAGTGCTATATGTATCGTTAAAACCTTTATTGAATGGAGAGGGTGAAGACAGGTTTTATTTACAGTTTTACTAATTCAAGGGCAATAACTCAAAACCGTTCATCGAAAAATCGTCAAATTCAAATTTGACCGTCATCTTTTCAACCCCAATGCTCACATCAAGTTTCATAAAAATCCATTGAAAATTGTGCTTCTATTGTGCCCACAAAATAGTTCTGACGCAATTTTACTAAGTCTAAGGCAGTAACTCAAAAAACGTTCATTGAAAAATCTTATTCGATCAATCCCAATGCTCACACCAATTCATTATAACAATCAAATGAAAACTGTAGTCTCACAAGAAATGTTGATGGACCGACGGACAAGGGCGACGACAATATACGACCACATATTATAAAAAGTATAAAAAGAACAAATTATGATAATATAATTGACGTAAGAGAATCAATAACAAAGTAGCTATATATCAAATAAACACGTTCTAATAAATACATTAACAAAATATTTTCATTGTCAAAATAGTGCTCAATACATTAATAGTAGAGCATTATAGAAATATCAATAAAGGTCATTTGGTTTAAAATCGCAATCTAATAGATACAATAATGGATAGTTCTATAGGTTTTTTTTTTATCAAATACTTACACAATGTGGCTCTTCACTTGCAGTTTCAAGACAATATGTTCCTCTTAAACTTGTAGAAGAATGATATCCCATCTTAACATCTGGTAAAACTGCTCCATCAGGACAATTATGCGATTGATACTGACATGTGTTGATGGAATTGGTGAAGTAGTGTATTGCTCTCATGTGACTACAGCCAACCTGGACCACAGCTAGTAATAATAAAAAAAAACTCGTGTCCAGACTACATCATACTCCATGATCCATATTCGGGACCCGATGTCTTTGGATTGTGTTTTGACCAAGAAATCGGTTGTGTTTCTATGAATCATACGGTGTAGCATGTTCCTTCAGCAACTGCGTGTGTCGTTTATCACATCAAACCGTTGCTTTCACAGCACGATACAGTGGAGCCGCGTTTATCGGGTTGCCGATAATTCCGGAAACCCCGATATCCGCACGCTTTTTACTGGGAACGGAATATTTACTATGAAAAAGTAACCGTTAATCCGGTGCTCCGGTTTCCAGTTCAGCACGGCTGTGATTGGGAACCAATTATCAAATTCTATAGCAAAAAGTATTCATTCTAAGACGTAGTATCACTTTAAGTAAGATTTTTCAGGTTTCGGAAACTATTGAATAATGTTAAGCGATACTCTAAAATTGAACAAAGAAATGACCAAAAATGTCAAACTTACAACATCCGGGTTGAAATTGTCCACCATTAGGGTAAAAATCAACATGGCCGACAGTTTGACCATTCACATATCCGAAAGCTGTAAAAAAAAATTTCATGTGTATTTTAATTTCAAACTTCACGAAAATGTCTGAACTTTTCCTTTATAATAATTGAAAACGTGTTTAAATTTTAGTAATTAAATAGGGACAACAGGGCACGCTCTGTAAACATGAATGTCTCATATAGATATAAAAATGATTTTACATATAAAATCAGTAATAGTGTTGGCTTTACATAGAAAAGTAATAGAAAGGATCTTACATAAGGAAAGTAATCCTCCATCGTCAGTATGCATTGCATCCACAAAATCAGCATCACCAATTGATAGTCGTTCATCAGCATCGTTACTAGCAAATTTATACCCTGCAGGATCCAATCCCGATATTCTTCCAATTTTATCACCAGTTAACTCTGTAACTCTTTGACCAGAAAATCCTGCTGAATGAGCTCCCAGACTATGACCAATGATATGAAAATTGCTATAAGCAACTCCTTTATTCTCATTGATGGCTTTGATGATATCTCCAGTTTTCTTTCCCACAGTTCTTGTGTTTTGGGCAGATTGACCATAAGCTTTAAATGCACCATCCTTCCAGTTAACTATTACCACATTCAAGGACCCTGGCTGATAAAAAGATAGCTTGCCAGGCAAGGTAATATACGCCCACTGGCAGCTTTGATTTTGAACATAAATATTTAGCAGTACAGTAACAATCACCAGTATGAAATATTCAACCTTCAGTCATACACATCTTTTGAACTCTTTAGGGCGATACTGAATACAATTGAGTATGAGTTATTGCCCTAGTTCTTGAAAACGTGTTCAATCTTTAGCTCGTGAAAACTCAAGAAGACAAATATTCAATCTTCAGCGCAATAATGAATAATAAAACCAAGTTTTGTCAAAATTCGGCAAGAATCATGCTTTCTAGAGTTTTTATGAGCTACAAATTGAACGATTTTTCAAGATCAAGGGCAATAACTCATACTAAATGTTTTTCGATTTTTCTGATTTTCAATAGGCTTTATCCTATAGGCTTTAGACAAATTTCGTTAAAATCCGTCAAGAATTGTACATTCTAGAAAGTTTACAAGCTAAAAATTAAACGCGTTTTCAAGAATAAGGGCAATAACTCATACTTAATATTTTTAGATTTTTATATTTTTGATTTTCAATAGGGTTCATCCTTGGGTGATAACCAACACTCAAGCCACATTTCGTTAAAATCCGTCAAGAATTGTCCCTTCTAGAGTGTTTACAAGCTAAAATTTGAACGCGTTTTCAAGCACAAGGGCAATAACTCATACTAAACATTTTTCAATTTTTCTGATTTTCAATAGGGTTTATCCTTGGTTGATAACAAACACTCATGTCAAGTTTCGTCAAAATCCACCAAGAATTGTGCCTTGTAGAGTGTTTACGAGCTAAAAATTGAACGTTTTTTCAAGAACAAGGGCAATAACTCATAGTAAATATTTTTCGATTCGTCTGATTTTCAATAGGGTTCATCCTTGGGTGATTACAAACAACCATACCAAGTTTCATCGAAATCAGTCAAGAATTGTGTTTTGTAGAGTGTTTACGAGCAATTGTAGACGGACGGACGGACGGATCAACGGAATGAGGTGACGGCAATAAACACCCCCCCATTTCATGTGGGCCTATAAAAATAAGTTCGAAATTAACATGATATTACATAGAAATATCAAAACAGAACTTGAATCATGTTGTTACTCATAGTTTCTATACAATGCGATCTTCAGACAACTGGCCTTTTTCAGCCTGCATTCCTACTGACGTTAGACAAGTAGAACTTGTTTTCATGTCTACATTTCGTGACAAGTTCGGAATATTGTTTTAAAAACGTGAGCTCTATTATTGAACCAGGCCATGTATTCTCGAAAAGATCTTAGCACTGGGATGTCCAAGAAACCATATTAGATGTTAAGGCCCAAGGGCATCCTAGCGCTAAGATCGTTTAGAGAATACACGACCTGGATATTTTGTAATTATTGTTTTTCAATTTAAGTTGCCAAATGTTGTTTGAGTGTTCGGTGCTATTTTCATTTTTTATGTTTAACGACTGCATATGGTTGTAATATTACATACAAAAGTATATATTCAAATTGAAAAGATTGCTTGTTATAGGCAGGGTAATGTACGCCCACTGCCAGCTTTGACTTGGATATTTAGAAGAACGGTAACAATCACTACATAAAATACGTCATACACTTCTTTCAAACATTTCTCGTTTTCAATAGTCGCTGAGCTTTGTTCCCCATATTTCAATTTTGAAAATTCTGTGGCCCCAACACGCCTCTATCACCCAATATATTCTACACATTAGACTTGGGCGTATACAAACTGTTCATCTTCTGATGTGGCACGCGTGAACACACTTATATAATATATATATATATATACGTACCAATTCCAAAAGCTGGTCTTTCATACTTTGAAACCAACTCGAGTTTCCCTGGTCATTAAAGCCATGGATCAAAAAAATAGTTTTAGCACCATTGACGAATTTACTAGCCAAACTAGATGTTGTAATGGTTTCTTTAGAATTACCATTCTTGGTGTATAACCAAAAATCTACCTGTATGTCCTTCGGTGTAAACCAACCTGTGATAAGAATATTGGGGAAAACGTAAAATTGACATATTCGCTTGATTAAGTTAAATTATTGAAGACTTTATTTACATTCTCCCATTCATATATCGTTATTCGTCAATCATAATTTTATATTAACTGTAACAGAAAAAGTTCTCTGGATATTATATTTTAACAGTTCAGTTGATATTATATTTTAACAGTTCAGTTAAGGTGTTTTATTCAATTGTATAAATGAGTCGTATGAGTCGTATGTCGCATTTTCAATACAAAAAAAAAATATACATGTTCATGGTTATATTATAGAGGTCTAAAATGAAATGAAATTAATGGAGTATTACGTCCTAATTTTCTGCATCTAATTGAGAGTTATGTTATATCAAACTTGGTATATGCGCCAGGGAGTATAAAAACTGCAACAAATGGTTATGGTTTGATAGTCCAAAAAATCTACCTTTCCTAGTCGTCGACTGTCAGAAAAACTATTTTATGAGATTTTAACCCTTATCAACCAATCCCCATAAAACCGGGCCACGTTTTCCTGACCCTGCAACTCCTGCCAACAACAACTGTCAAAATAGCTATCAGATGTTAGAATAGAAATGAAATAGAATGGAGTTTTACGTAGGACCTTAAAGTGCCCAATGTGTCAAGCGGGGTGGCTGCATCTAGTTACTGGCCTGGGTCAGGCCTGAAGTGATTTGAGCTGCAGAATAATAGATCTCTTAGTTTTCCGGATTCGGTAAATTAAAAACAAACCAAATCTTTTCACGACCAAACGATATTTCCTGAACAATTAAACTATAATAATACTATTATGTGCCCGAGGACAACGAGAGGAAAATTCGTCCAAACGTTGCATAAAACTTTAACCAGTGTGTCTTACTATTTCTAAATGCCATTTGAAAACTTGATAATACTAACCTTCTGTATCAGCAAAACACACTAGAAATATCAAAACCGCTAAAAACTTCATTTTGATAAGTCAATTGAATTGTAACATGAGATGATGATCCACGACAGAAAGTAATTTATAAGAAATCCGAGAAATTCAATTAGACTTTATTTGGTTAAAATTTCGTTTTAATAGTGAACCGTAAAATTAATATTACAACGCCTAATTCAATTCTATTCCGCTAAATTTCACATTAACAATATCGTCTATCAACCACATCATAAAGTATAAATTTGCTAATTTAACACTAACCTTAAAGGGACAAGCTAACTATCCGCTCGACCAATTTTTCGAGCTAAACTCATCAGTAATAGAGTTTGCAGCTCACCTTCAAAATTTGAGCCTTAAAATGTATCATTTTGCCGGGAATTACCCTACTCTATTTCGAATTCCACCTGCTGAAGGATCTTTAACATGAATTTTGTTGAGGTTTTGAAGTATATTTGAAGGGATTGTGCCATTTTCTTTCCTTTTGACCGATATCATGCTAAAACATTGAAACTGTGCCTTCTACAGTGTTTTCAAGCTAAAAATTGAACGAGACAATAACTCATTATTTTTTTTTGGTTGTGTTCATCCTTGGGCGATAAAGATTCGTCTAAATCTGTGCCTTCTTTACTGTTTGCGAGCTAAAAGCGTTCTACAAGAGTATTTCATTGGCTTTTTATATGTTCTAAAATAGGATATCATAGGTTTTTTAGATGTTTTGTAAAAGTATATTATAGGTTATCTAGATGTTCTATAAGATTATATTATAGGTTATCTAGATGTTCTATAAGATTATATTATAGTTTATCTAGATGTTTTATAAGATTATATTATAGGTTATCTAGATGTTCTATAAGATTATATTATAGGTTATCTAGATGTTCTATAAGATTATATTATAGGTTATCTAGATGTTCTATAAGGTTATATTATAGTTTTTCTCGATGTTTTATAAGAGTATATTATGGGTTTTCAAGATGTCCTATAAGATTATATTATAGGTTATCTAGATGTTCTATAAGATTATATTATAGGTTTTCTAGATGTTCTATAAGATTATATTATAGGTTATCTAGATGTTTTATAAGATTATATTATGGGTTTTTAAGATGTTCTATCAAATTATTTATAGGTTATCTAGATGTTCTATAAGATCATATTATAGGTTATCTAGATGTTTTATAAGATTATATTATGGGTTTTTAAGATGTTCTATCAAATTATTTATAGGTTTTCTAGATGTTCTATCAAATTATATTATAGGTTTTCTAGATGTTCTATAAGATTATATTATAGGTTTTCTAGATGTTCTATAAGATTATATTATAGGTTATCTAGATGTTCTATAAGAGTATATTATGGGTTTTTAAGATGTTCTATCAAATTATTTATAGGTTTTCTAGATGTTCTATCAAATTATATTATAGGTTATTTAGATGTTCTATAAAATTATATTATAGGTTTTCTAGATGTTCTATAAGATTATATTATAGGTTATCTAGATGTTCTATAAGATTATATTATAGGTTATCTAGATGTTCTATAAGATTATAGTATAGGTTATCTAAATGTTCTATAAGGTTATATTATAGGTTTTCTAGATGTTTTATAAGATTATATTATGGGTTTTCAAGATGTTATATAAGGTTATATTATAGGTTATCTAGATGTTCTATCAAATTATATTATAGGTTATCTAGATGTTCTATAATATTATATTATAGGTTATCTAGATGTTCTATAATATTATATTATAGGTTATCTAGATGTTCTATAAGATTATATTATAGGTTATCTAGATGTTCTATAAGATTATATTATTGGTTTTCTAGATGTTCTATAAGATTATATTTTAGGTTTTCTAGATGTTCTATAAGATTATATTATAGGTTATCTAAATGTTCTATAAGATTATATTATTGGTTTTCTAGATAGGTTTTCTACATGTTCTGTAAGAGTGTAGTATAGGTTCTAGATGTTCTATAAGATAATATTATAGGTTTTCTAGATGTTCTAAAAGATTATATTATAGGTTTTCTAGATGTTCTAAAAGATTATGTTATTGGTTTTCTAGATATTCGGATGTTCTATTTATCTGGATGTTCTATAAAATTATATCATAGGTTATCTAGATGTTCTATAAGATTATATTATAGGTTATCTATATGTTCTACAAGATTATATTACAGGTTATCTAGATGTTCTATAAGATTATATTATAGGTTATCTAGATGTTCTATAAGATTATATTATAGGTTTTCTAGATGTTCTATAAGATTATATTATAGGTTTTCTAGATGTTCTAGATGTTCTATAAGATTATATTATAGGTTTTCTAGATGTTATAAGATTATATTATAGGTTATCTAGATGTTCTATAAGATTATATTATAGGTTATCTAGATGTTCTATAAGATTATATTATAGGTTATCTAGATGTTCTATAAGATTATCTTATAGGTTATCTAGATGTTCTATAAGATTATATTATAGGATTTCTAGATGTTCTATAAGATTATATTATAGGTTATCTAGATGTTCTATCAAATTATATTATAGGTTATCTAGATGTTCTATAATATTATATTATAGGTTATCTAGATGTTCTATAAGATTATATTATAGGTTATCTAGATGTTCTATAAGATTATATTATAGGTTATCTAGATGTTCTATAAGATTATATTATAGGTTTTCTAGATGTTCTATCAAATTATATTATAGGTTATCTAGATGTTCTATAATATTATATTATAGGTTATCTAGATGTTCTATAAGATTATATTATAGGTTATCTAGATGTTCTATAAGATTATATTATAGGTTATCTAGATGTTCTATAAGATTATATTATAGTTTATCTAGATGTTTTATAAGATTATATTATAGGTTATCTAGATGTTCTATAAGATTATATTATAGGTTATCTAGATGTTTTATAAGATTATATTATAGGATTTCTAGATGTTTTATAAGATTATATTATAGGTTATCTAGATGTTCTATAAGATTATATTATAGGATTTCTAGATGTTTTATAAGATTATATTATAGGTTTTTTAGATGTTTTGTAAAAGTATATTATAGGTTATCTAGATGTTCTATCAAATTATATTATAGGTTATCTAGATGTTCTATAAGATTATATTATAGGTTATCTAGATGTTCTATAAGATTATATTATAGGATTTCTAGATGTTTTATAAGATTATATTATAGGTTATCTAGATGTTCTATAAGATTATATTATAGGTTTTCTAAAAGAGTACATCACTGGCTTTTTAATCATCAAACTGATATGTATAATTGAATGATATAAAAAAAAAAGATTGCATATTAATACATATCATATGTTACATTGAAACTATTTATACATATCATATGTTCATAGGTTTCTAAATTTATGTGTATCGGGGACATTAGAATATATGAAATATTCATCCTGTTTTGGCGACGTTCAGACTCTTAAACATTTTTACGAAAATTTCATTCAACCGTCAATAATTTCCACCTTCCAAATTATCCAAAGTGTATAGTGACTATAAGATATTAAATATTTTTCAATTTTCTTAAGGTTCATCCTTGCGTATAATAAACCATTGCACCAAGTTTCATCAAAATCTGTCAAGAATTGTGTCTTCTAGAGTGTTAACAAGCTAAATATCTATTGCTTTATGTAAAACTAGGTCTATAAAATATCATATATACTTAAATATTTATTCTCTTTTTTGACAAGATTCCTCTTTGAGAAGTTTCATTAAAATCTGTCATTAATTGAACCCTTCAAATTAATTGAAGTGTATACAAGTTAAAAGATCAAAAGCGTTGAAAAAAAAAGGACAAAGATAGTGGAACACAGCCATATACGCCCTTCATGGCATGCAGCTGGTAAAAACGAAACATCCATTTTAAGTTTCATCAAAATCGGTTAAAAACTAAGAGAGTAATAGCATATTCAAGATTTTGGGGCAAGGAAAATAACGAACTTGATCTTCGTTTTATGAATATGTATACACATACCGAATTTCATTTGATTCATTCAAACACTCTAGTTTTTAGTGCGTTTACAAGCAAATGTTGAAGGACCAATGGACGAACCGCCAGGGGTGCCCACTATATACGTCCATATAGAGAGGTGTGGGCGTATAAAAAGGAATATAACCCATTTTAATTTGATTTTTGGCAGTATTCATCCTTAAGTATAATAAACAATTTCACCAAGTTTGTCAATACCCATCAAGAATTTTGCCTTAGTGATTAGTATTATAGATAGGCAAATACCATAGTTTTGAAAACTAATTAGTAAGTGAGCCTGGCCCAGCAGCCTTGAAAGAATATATATATCTTTGATATGTTTACTAAGATTGTTGCATAAAAATGTCACATGTCCACCAGTTTAAGGATTTAAGGCAAAAACTTTTTCAATATATCTCCAATATTGTTTATTTACAAATGCATAACACACATCAAATCTAGTGAAAACAGTAGATTATATCTCATCCAAGACAAATTTTTACTGAAGAATGGGCCAACAATTGAAATTGTCAAAAAGGTACTAGTTTGTTTTTTACTGAAGAACTGATAATACTAATGGTATCAGAACTATGGTCACAATTCCATAGAATGAAGGCTGAAATAGTCTAGAAATTGATGTTGGGTCATTGGTTTTGATATCTGGAAAAAAGATAATTACATAATTAGGTGAATTGTCTGTAGATCACATAACATAAAACTCAGAGTAACAACATGTTTTTTAAAGGCCCTGTTTTAGAGAGATTAATCACTGGTTGGTAAAAATATCATTGATGTAATGATAGCCTAATCATACAATATAATTGAAATATACAATCAAAATCATGGTATCCAATTAGTCTAGTTTATTGCAATGACATTCCAAAAGTAATCAACTCAATCTAAACTTCAGCAAAATCAATAGCTAGCCAGGCAATAAAACATATGCCAAGAAGGCAGCCTTGTTAAATTTTGTTGATATAAGTCATTTTGTATTTTGTTAATATAAGTTTGTATTAGTACAGTTGATAGAAAAAAAGGCAGAAACTGTAGTTTTTAATCAACCCAAGATTTTAAGAAAAAAAAAACCTATTCATCACAATATGTTACTTGGAGTTTTTCCCTTCTCTTTTGTTCATACACGGACTTTGATGCAATATAACTATTTAAAGGGAAATAACACCAAAACCTTCTGTTCAGGACTTAACAGATTTACTTTGATTTACAAAAATCAAAGGCAATGAATGTTTATCAAGCAAATTTCATATCATTTTCATCCAGATTGGTTCAAAACTGTAGCTCACAGATTTGGATTCCTTTTAACAAAGATAGTAAATCAATAAGTCATTAACTTCAAACTTATCAATCAATGAATACTTTAAGCTCAACAAATATCAATTGAAAATTGTAGCCTCTCTTACATTCACAAGCAGATTTCAACTAAATCATGAGCATTAACTCAAAACAAAAACCAACCATCAAAAGTCTTTGTGATTGATGGACAAGGGCTAAATCATATTAGAATCTTGTCAATATACACAAGTATTATCAAGTATCATCAAAATTTATCAAAGCCCCTTTTAATATACAGGTTTGATTGGAACTATAACCACTATCGCATGATGGACAGATAAGAGTGACAAAACACTTTTATATTATAAGACAGGTGTAAAAATAACATAAATCTAATGTCACTTACCACATTGGACTCCTTTCCAACCTGCCTGACAACCAAATGGACATCTACCACTCCCTTTACATTTGGCATTACTGGCTGTCCGATTGACCAGTGGTGATACAGGCAGACAATTAATACCACATGGTGTCATACAAACAGCACCAAACCATTCCGACACACATCCATACAGACAAGAACCATTGTATCTATCACAAATAGTTTTGTCTGTTTTTGATATTTTGCAATATTCTGAACAGTTTTCTGTGCAATCTTGACCATAAAATCCCAGTGCATCGACCAGATTTTTGGCACAAAGATATGTTTGTTCGCTCCTGAATTTCACAATTCACACTACATGGTTTGTCACAAGTACTTCCATAATGATCATTGAGGCACTCTTCCCCCATACAAACACCATCAATTTGATGACAGTGGCTCTCTGGACAATTTATAGGACACACTAAGTTGCATTTGTCACCATAAAATCCTTTCAAACATCCTCTAGCACAAAGTCCATTTGCTTTATTACAAGTTACATTGACACCGTCTAAAACATAATCCTCACAGTTTTTAGGACAAGACTGGTTACAAAATGGCCCACGATAGCCTTTAGTACATTGTTCTACACACAATCCAGCAATAGTGCATTTTCCGCCATAGCAATTAGAACAAGACTGATCACATGCTGAGCCAAAGTACCCTGGCATACATTGTACACATTCTCCTGAGCTTCGTTCACATTCAGCACAGTTTGACGTCCTCCTTTTACAGGTGTGGTCACAGGTGGTGCCATAAAATCCCTTTTGACATCTCTCACATGTACTTGCATCTGTACACATGGCACAATTTGGAGTTAAACACGGAGTGGAACAATCTGCACCAGTAAAACCTTCTGAGCAACCATCTGAACATGTGAACTTAGAATCACCATCTATTCCAACACAGGCACTGTTTTCACATGACTTACTACATATCTTAGAGCAATCATCAGTGTAATATCCTATTTCACAGCCTCTGGAACATTCACCGCTTTCTCGGTCACAGATCATATCTTTACAATGTTCTGGACACTGGTCGGTACAATTATCACCGAATGTACCATCTATACAACCATATGTACATCTTCCGGTTATTTGATCACAGTAAATATCGTCATTGATGGTCTGACAGGTTACACTACATGTATCATTACAGTCATTTCCCATATAACCAGGTAGACATTCACCACAGGTACCTGCAGGAGACACCAAGAATACTATCAACTTAATATTATGATTAAGTGTTTTTCAATAATTACCTAGTTTTTATGAATTTTCCAGATTTTCTGGGGATTCTGTTGTAACTTTATGACACCAGGTAAGTTCACTGATGAATACATACTCATATTGACCATTCTTGAGAATTAAATTTTATGTTCATTCTAAGACGTATCACTTTAACTAAAGGTTAGCTGGCAAATCAAATCATACCTAGTAAGCTCTTTCTGAAAACAGCTCTGAACAGCTAAAACCTTGCACTTTTAACTGGAAAACTGAATGTTAAGGCAGTTGGAAGTCCACATCATTAAGCTAAAAGATTAATATTTTTCGACATGACTACATGGGTTAATTCATGAGACATTTCTAAATCCAAATTTCGAAACATACATAAAGGTCTACTTACCAAACTGAATATGAGTCAAAACAATAATAATGGTACAAGCAACAATGACCTTTAAGTCAAAGGTAGCCATTGTGTGCAGATTTCTTTTTTCTCTAAGTTTTAGGTATTCAGTGTAACATAAAAATCATGTTTCAAAATATCATGATTTCTCCACTATACAAAGAAATTCTCAAAGACCAACAAAACAAAAACTATGTTAACGAATAGTAGAGACTCACTCAGAATGTTTGTTATCAGTGAAGTTATGTATTGTTTATCTTAGTACTAGTAAAATTATTTGTCAACAAACTACATGTTTTAGTCACAAAGCAATTGATTAAAGTTTGTAGGTCACGGTCGAAAGAGATAACATGTAAGAGTTAGACCAAACAAAATACAAAGTTTGTTTTACAAGACCTTCGCATCCTGATGAAATACAGGTTTCTTCAAAACCATCATGTTAATTTCCGAATAATAATAATTAATGAACTTACTTTATGTAAAATAGCTATTTCTCACCCAAAAATACAAGAACAAGTGTAAACAAATCAAACAACAGAGGTCAGAAAGAGTGAGAACAGGCTTTTCAGGCAAGGTAATATTCATTTAAATTAGAAAATTTGGCCATTGGCACTCTTCACCAATATGAAATATTCAACCATAGTCATATACTTTCAGGACTTAAGAAGTTTCAAAAACCAAGGGCAATATCTCCTATAAAACATTTTCTAATTTTCAAAAGGTTTCATCCTTGGGTAATAATTAACATGTTCGCCTAGTTTTGTCAAACATGTTGAGAGGCCACAGGTTAAAGGGACAGATGTGCCCATTTTTTGACCAATCATACTCAAGTCTGAGAAACAAGAATTTTAAAGCCAAGCCCCACCAAATATAGTGTTCACTGCTCACCGTCAAAATTGGAGCCTTCAAATCTATGTGTGTCCAGAATAATCCATGTTAAAAAGATGAGTCATCTTTTCTTTAGACAAAGCCAGAAAGATATCTATATACACAGGAGAAGAAATTCCTACTTTGATACATGTTTGAAGCAACCACAAAATAGTGCACCCATCCCTACATTGTATATTTATAGATTACAGTAATTACCTACATGCTAATTTGGTTGTTCTAAGTTCATCATGGTCTTATAATTTCACAAATTTACCTTGTGAAGTAATTACTGTGACCTGTAGTGCCCAATTCACCTTGAAACCAAATTACTTTGATAAATTAGGTTTAAAAGCTGACAGGACTTTCTCTTTTAATATTCCACCTTCCAACTTGTGAAAACAAGTGGTTGCTTTACAAAATACGCCTACTTCCCTGATAAACTTTTAGGATATCAAAGGTCAGTCGTTAACCTGTGTCAATGATACAAAAAATCTAATTTGTCCAAGAAACTGTTGATTTTATACAAACATACAAAATTTCATAAAATTCTGACATAAACTGTCACCTTTATTGCGTTCACAAACCCCTTTCAAGATAATTTGACGCATCTTTACTAAGTTCAGGGCAATAACTCAAAAAATGCAAAATTTGATTCATTAACTTGACCAAGATCTCATTAATATAAATGCTCACACCAAATTTTATTAAAAAAAACTGTAGTCTCCATTGTGTTCACAAGCCAATTGTGGATGGATCGAACAACAGACGATGGACAGGGGCAACAACAGTATACAACCACATTATAATGTGGGAATAAAAAAACAAAATCTTTGTGCTCAAATTTTATTCTCTTTAAACTATGAGCATGGAATAATGATAATAATAGCACTTATTTAAGTTTTCTGTACACAAAAAGCAGTTATATATAATAGAATATAACTAACTCCCTCGTTATGTTCACAAATAACCATTTGTAATAACTTTCATCATACAATACAAGTATTGCCAGTACTACAAAAAACCTACTGTAGCTTCTTCAAATTCAGCAGTACTCTAATGTTTGAATGCTCTTTGATTAAATTCAGATGACAAATAATTCAAGAAGTATAGTATATACATATTTCAGAACACATTTTTAACATTGGCAATGGCACATATACATCTTACAAAAAAAAAAAAAAGTGACAAAAATTTGCAAGCTCCCAAGTTATATTAAACATTATAAGCTATATTTCAAACACTAACTAGTTATTGGCACATTTACAATTCCAATCTCTACATGAAAAAAAATATATATACCGGTATACCAAAAACTGTATTGAGTACATTTAAGATTAATTGTTGGCACAATATATTACTTGTACACATTTGGTTAAAAATGCAAAAAAAACATAATGAAGTATTATGTATTGGCACAAGTATAAGGCAGTGTTAGGGAATGACTGGTACCAGTATATTACGCATATATTGAAAATGTATAAAAATGATAAATGATGAAGGCAGTGTTAGGGTAATATAGGCAGTGTTAGGATATCATTTTAGAGAATCATTGTATCAATTATCACCAATTTTTTTTATAGCTTGCCTGGCAAACAAAGGTCTATTTAACCCTGTATTTAACTAAGCTTGCTACACTTTGTTTAGCACATTTTCTGTCATTTTCAATTCTTTACTGTATTGTCAATATTAAAAGAATGTTTTGTTAACATATGACGGCACTTAAAATGGGAAGACATTTCATATATGTTTGCATATATTTAAGGCAATGTTCATTAAAGGGCGGTTAGTGAAACACAAAACATTTTCACTTGATCTTCTACTAGCAAACCAAGGGTTTATTCAAAATTGTCACAAACTGTCCATAATTTTTTGATAATCTGCTGATACTGAAAGAGCTACATACTTCTCAAACTGCATTATCACATGGGTTAATTTTATGGATGAAATTCAGAATGAAATCTGATGGACTTTGATGCTGTCATAGAGAGATGTGGGTATATAAAAATACAATGACATCCCTGAGGAATGTAGATTTATGATTCTTGAACTATGTCTTATTGAAATATTTGATGTAATATAGAACAAGCAATGTCAAAAATATTCAGCAGATTTAGACATATTTCTTCAAATAATCAGATTTATAAGACAGATTATATAACATTATATTATAATAGTCACATGGAAGCCACGTATAAAGCTCTAATTCTTGAGAACTAAGTTTAAACAAAACAATAAACAAAGGCACAAAATTTGAATTGATATTTCAAAGAATATTAAATATATTTCTTGGCACTTAACACTATGGCAGTTGAATCTAAAATGAACACAAAGGTGGCAAGTCTAAACTAGAATATATTGCCTAATTAATGTAATTAATAAACAATTATTTCTTTGTAGACACCTCAACAGTAAATAGGTAAATGTAAGGCGTTTCCAAGGTGACTGATATTGTCACGATTTCTCATTTTCTACTATCAACATGGCATTACATTTAAACTGTGATAATAACAAAACTTGAAACAGTGCAGTAAAGATGAGAAATACCTAACAGGGAATTTCACACAGACTAGATAGTAAACTGTGAACACATCATTTTAATCTTCATCACTTGCAGCTTCAAACATCTGAATTAAAACAAAAAGTTAGCACTATAAATAAGATCAAATTTTCTATTTGCATTGCAAGCAATGGTGAAGGCAAGAACTGTCTATTATGTAAGATCATTGTATCAGATAAATGTTCTACAATCATGGCATTTTGTCAAGACTAGCGCAAAGTAAGTACTCCAATCATTCAATAATCTAGTCAGATCTAGAGTGGGCACTTCTTCCAATCCAAATGCTCAATGCACCCCTTCTTCAATATGAAAAATGGCCTTGTAAAGCCAGGTGACATACGCCTACCAGCTTGAAGAGTGAGCATAAGCATAGAGTGAACAGACATACAACAATAAAAATCAAAAGAATCCATAAAGAACTTTTGCTTGAAGAGTGAGCAAAAGTTGCACAATATAGCTACAACATATATCTAACTTGAAGATCACTAAAACTTACCCCCAATAGATTTTTAGGTTCAATTCCAGATTTGACAGTAGTTTCAGTGGTCTCCATCTCAGCTATTCTTTGATGATTAGCACTAATATTAAATACAGGAGTTAAACTTCTATCACTTTCAAAACTACTTTCAAAACAGCCACTTGGACTACTACTTCTACAATAATAAAATAAAACACAATATTAAGCCTGGTACCTGGAAATTTTTCTTGAAGTTTGCACCTAATGCCATGTAGTGTGCATTGAGGGAAATTTAGCCAGGACAGAGGCATTTTTGATTTCCTACTGTTGACCCATTTTTATCTTTAACTGTAGAACATGAGGCCCTGATTTATTGTCTACTCTGAGCGACTAGATGTTTTTCCCATCCATGTCAGCACACTGAGCCTGCATCACTGACATGGAAACTGGGTTGAAAAATCTGAAGGTATTATCTCGACCTAGGCAGGGATAGAAAAACGCAATTGTCTGAAAGGCTCAGCCAGAAAAATGCCCAATTTATCATATAATGTGCTATATTTTAAATCATCGTAATAAAATAAAAGATATACTATAGCATCAAAATCAATATAATCTGGCATTCCATCACCACAAAGTTTGATAAATCAAGACCATAAGATACTGACCTGAACTTAATTGGAACAACAGGAGAAGAACTTTGAGGAGTTGGCACATTGGTAGGTCTATGTCTTAGCACTGGAGTTGTAAAAGCCTTTCTTGGTGGAATTTTTCTAGAATCAGAAAGTCAAATACATTACACAGCCTCAACCACAGTAACTGATAAAACTACATATTTTCTTAATAACTATAGACCTTGTCACTTTGACCACTAAAAATGCATTTTTCATTTAATTTTGCCCCAAAATGTGCTTGTACTGCAACTACATGTCACTCAGTATAATATAGTACTAAACATTTTTAACTTTGTCCCATTGACTCACTATGGAATTGATGGTTGGATTATTGAATCTAACGTAGACCAAGTCAAGTTAACAAGGTATACTTACGGCAAAACAAATTCTCCTGAAGCATCCGATGAAGTAGAAGAATCTAAGGGCGCACCAAATGAATTATTACATATACTCACAACATCATCATCAAAACAATCATCTACAAAATAAATATTATAAATAAAGGTGTGATTAATACTAAATTAATACAGCTCTTCTATATATTCACAACATCTTCTCTCTTCTTATTCAACTCAGATTATTGAATATTTCCCCATTATAAACAATTTATACAACATCTGTTTTAACAACACATTTTAGCTATATTGTTTTTATTTTCAAAACTTAATATTAGGTTAATTATTTAAACCATTTTTTAGTGTTATTAATATGATAGTGCTTCAATTTGTTTTATATTGAGTGGAGACCTGACTTCATGAATTAGCTGACCCAGAAAAATTGAGTCCCCACATTTAATGATTTCACAATAATACTGGTTAGGTATACAGTTCAACTGTCTTACAACTTACCATCAGATATACTGTTGTCAACAGAGGGTGATGATGAACTGATATGAGAACCAATACTAGGTAATGAAGGAAGACGTGGACTGCTATCACCAGTATGGCTAAATGGTTTCAGTATAAATGTTACCATCAGTAAAAAGTAGGTTAAAATAGAAGAAAAGAAACCTTTAACTCTTGATATCTGTAAACACAAAACAATTATTGTTAGATTTGTAACACATTAGTTCATTTAAGTAGCTCTACCATGTGGCAACATGTTAAGCAAGGAACTCTTATGCCAACAGTTGTGTGAACATTTTGTCTTCCTTTGAGTGATAAGAAACGATTTCACAAAAGTTCCTTAGAATCTGTTAAGAATTATGACTTCTATTATGACAACAAGCCCTTGTGGGGTTAATGTAAATGCACAACATTTAATGCAGGCAATTCATTTAGAATTTAATCTTTGATATCAATTGGTGGTGTTTTTTTCTGATATTATACTTAATTTGAACATTCTTTACATAATAATATTTATTATAAATAAATTACATGATACAAAAGATAAATGTACTTACAGCCCTATTTATCATATATTCTCTCATTCTTCTTTTCCAAACCTATAAATTAAGATAGAATGATGAAATAAACAACAAGTAACAATGGATCATTTGAATTTACAAGTCAAAGACGTGAAACAAAAATATAGCATGAACAGATTATCGATGAAATACAAGAAAATCATCAGAATAAAAAATGTGTGAATTTTATGATCTTGCATTGTACAAGCATTCAAGTGAATTTAACATTTGTCAATGTTCCAAAAACAGCAAGTTAAAACGATGTAATCAATAACTGTTGATTAATTATGACTAAATTTAAAATTTAAATTGACTAAAGTTACAAAGATACAAAGATTTTTGGTTATTTAATATAATCTATGATGTCCATAAAAATAAACTCTTTATGCTCTGAAACCATTGAATAAAGGTTGACAAAAGACAGAGTCCTGAAAACAGTTTATAATGTACTTACTTTTCTTACTGAAGGAAACTGTAATAATTGATCTACTGTAGGTCTACTACCAGGACATTTATCTAACATATGATGTATCACATACTTTAAATCAAAACTTTTATCTAAAATAATCAAATGAATTGTTAAGTTCATTAGATTTCATCACCATTAAATGAAATGTCAAACAAGAAATTGTTCTAATTAGAAGTCTGCTTATTTGCACTACTACTGATATACTTGCAGCGATACAATTTACTCCCAAAAAAAATCACTAAATAAATAATGTGAAGACTTGCTGTACAAATCATAGATACCATTTATGCAGAATGTTGCTTATTACTAACCTCTGAGAAACTCTTCTGGCAACTCTCCTCTTCGTAGAATATGCCAACCTTCCCCACCTCTTGGTAGATCTAAATCACTAGCTAGTTCCAACATCGTCATACCCAAACTGAAATCAGTATAAAATTTTTTGGTTAGCAGCCCTCTCAGAGCAACATAAATATTTAGGCAGTGCATTTGTGTGGGAAAAAAGGAAAAAAAACAAACAGAACTTGAATTTATCATATTCACATTAAGGTTAGCAGATTTGTATCCAAATTCATACTAATCATAAATAAAAATATCAAAATATACCATGAATAGAAAGTTAGAGAAAAGTCGATGCAAAAAATGGTGTCCACAGCACACCCTGTACAATAAATGTCTTACCTAAAAATATCCGCTGGTTTTCCAAACTTGCCTTGCATTAATTCAGGTGCTAAATACTTAGGATCACCTTCTTGGGCCTCTGATAAATCTACCTATATAACAAAGTAAGACAGTTATGAAATTCATTGATTCCATTTACAAATTGGTTTGTATCATAACAAGTGAAGATTAACTGTCATGTGATCAAGTCGGGTTGAACTTACCCTTTGAAATTAATTTTTCTATTTTACAAATTTTAAGTTGCTTGGAGCTTAGATTTCTTTTTAATAAAAGCTACATGAAATAAATTAAAATATCATTTACCTTTGTAACATCTAATACTAAACCAAAATCTCCTAATTTACACATTCCATCAAAAGATATAAAGATATTTTCTGGTTTAATGTCCATGTGTATTAAGTCATTATCATGTAGATGTTTAACAGCCTGTAATGACAAACAATTAGAGCCAACTGAAATATTTTCCTTTGGATGCAATTCGTTATCAATAAATACAAGCACCTGCATAACTTAAGGTATAGAAATATCTAAACAGAACCTGAAACATGGTGTTACTCTAACAAACCAAATTTCATGAAAATTGGTTGAAAATTAAAGGAGCTATTGCATTTCAACTAAGATGGAGCTTTAGCATTTTCTAACAAATAACAAGAAATATGAAATCAGTTAAAAACTAAAGGAGATAACATTTTAGGTTACCAAAAGTGACAGACAGGATAACTTGTCATTGCTACCAAAATGGCTTTCATATTCAAAATACTAGCAAAGATGATACAAGTAGAATCAATACTAATTTTTATTAAATTTGATGAATATAGTGGAGGTTAAAAATATCAATACACTGTTTTCAGACTCATTATCTTGAACAGTCATCAATTTTAAACACCTACCATGAGTAAATCAACAAGATAATTCCACAACATTGGTTCACTTAATTCATGATATCCATCAGCTGCTTCATTTAAACTGAAATAGATCATTATGTATCTTAATTAAATGCTCCAACAGTTATATAGTTTTAATTAATTTTCTACTAGTCCCATTCTCCTGACCATATTTTATCCAGTCAAAGCATAACATGTAGATCCTGTTTTTGGATAATTGGAAAATTATCAATCAAATCAAATCATCAAAACACAAAGAAGAGCAATATGGCAGCCTGTTTGGGTTTCACTATCTTACAATTCTTTATCAATATACTGTTCATTGAATACATACACACTTTAGGGACTTGTGGTAGAAAACTTGTTAGATTACAATGGAGAATAAAATAAGAAAAAAAAAAGTAAGAAAATGTATGGTAATCTAATCTTAATCAGATTGGAATTTGTAATAGCTTGGATAACAAGACATTTAAAATAGACAGTGGACAATTCAAATGAAAAAATGAAATGAATGGAGTTTTACGTCCTACTTTTCTGCTAATGTGGGCTAATGAAGACGGGCAACACCATGCAGGGTGCAATGAGGGAAATTTTGCCAGGACAGCAGCATTAGCCTGCTCTTTTTCAATTTCCCACTGTCGAGGGATCTTTAAAATGCACTGCCTGTAGCACAAGGTTTATTGTCCCATCCGCATGAGTACACGCTTTTTTCCAACAGTAGTGAAACATGCAAGACATACTCGAAACATAATGTTACATAAAAGGGAAATCTGGATATATTCAAGGCACCAAAGTTTGAATATTGTAGCAATAATTAAGCTTAGTTACAGGAAACAGACAGACAAATGTAGGAGAATGAGATGTTAACAGTGAGCTTACCTATTTTTACACAATTCTATCTGAATGTAAAGATGTTGTCTTTCTTCCCAAGCTTTATAGAAGTGAACACAATTTTGATGAGGTGGTAGTTTTTCATGTTTGGCAACTTCTTCAAGTTTTCTTCTCCTAAAAAATAATTTCAAACATGAGTGACTTACTCCTTAGTTAATTTTTATCTTAAATGAACAATAGTTGAAAAAAGTTCATATGCGCATCTAAGTTCTTTTGTTGATGCTTATCAAAGCAAGAGATGGTTATATATACAGCATTATAAATATTCAGGTATAATTATTGTTATTTGTTGACATAATCTCCAATGTATCCTACCTGTATCTGACATAAACCAGGATTTTCATAAGAACCTATATTCAAGTACCTGTCAATATCAGTAAACTATTTGTTATTTCAAACTACCAATAAATAACATGGTTTTAAATACATACCTGTCAGACTCTCCTCTGAAACGAACTTGTGTTCTTTTAACTGCATACAGACATCCATCTTCTTTACTTCGTACTTTGAAAACCTGGAAATTGAATGATTGATAAGTAGAAACAAAACCAATCTAAAGAATTTCTGCCATGAGTTATGATACTTATTGATAAAAACCAATAAGTACTAGTAATATCTAGAAGGTGTTAACCATATAAAAATTATCAGTAAAATTTAAAGGAGCACTTTCACTGTCCGTTCGACCAACCATACCTTAGTTTCAGAAACAGGAATTGTTTTAGCTTACATTATCAGTAATAGTGTTCACAGCTCATCGTTGAAATTTGAGCCTTCAAATCCATGTGTATCCATTATTATTCACGTTGGAAAGTTAAAAATTTGACTCGAATTTTAGTGATACTATGCCTTATACTTATGTTCACCATGTAAATCTATTAAGAACTTCTTCTTAGACTATGACTGCAATAGGCATCTTTCTTGTATTACAGAAGTTGGTATATTATATGCAGCTTTGGTTGGATTTACGTTACAGCCTTTTAAAGTTTACAGGTCGTCCGCCTTGATTGTACTTGCTGGCATACAATCCCATCAAATCACTGGATCCCTGATACAAGAGAGGTGGCTAAATTGCAGTTCGTAATAGCTTTACAATGTGAATACGTCTATTACTAATAAATACATCTTCTCACCTCTCCAAAAGAACCAGCACCAAGTTTACTCAAAACAACAAAACACTGCTCAAAATATAAATCTTTGTTGTTTTCATTGTACCTAGTACTTAGAAAAGCTATTTTCTGTTAAGGAAAAAAACAATTCATTGCAATAAATACTCATGTTGGCTAATTATTGGGTTGAAATATCTTTAAACATTACAATGGATTTAAACATACTTGGCTTAAACAAGTCCATGTTAAATTAGTTATATGGAGTGTAGTTATAAGCTTATTCAATGAATGAAAAGATGATCTTTAAACTCTCATAATTTTTTAACTGCCCCCCTCCACTACATAATTATAAATGGCAATTAAAAGGATACAATTTTCTGAACTTCTGAATGAAACTACTTGAGGTTTATGAGATGTTCTATGAGGAAATATTCGGCTTATCGGTGGACAACTTTTAATTGGTGGCCGTGGTGGTGCTGAATCTCTTGGTGTGCCTGCTCTTTGCTGAAATAAGATAATACTATGATATTGGTTTATAGTTCTACTCCATTGACAATGCCTGCCCTAGTGATATGATTCAATCCAAAAGTGATTGTAGGTAAATCAGCAGGTGGTTACTATTTATTGTAGTTACTGAAATTAATTACATTGAACACTGTATAGTTTTGAGTTTAAATCAGAACCAAGGACCGGTAACTCCAGCGGTTTTAATTTAAATTAACTCCAGCTGCAGGGAGATGTCTCTGGCCAAATTGTCCCACATTGCACTGGAACTGAGAGACGAGAGATAGACACCATTCACCAGGGCAATTCAGGATAGTAAAGATGGCTTAAAGTCATGCTTGGTGGAAGATATACCCTGCCTATTTAACCACTACTGTCATAATCACCTAAGAGCCTATGGCCATGATTTCAGTGGGCTACATGAACTTTCACATCAGGAAGTTTAATTTTTTGGGGATGATTGAGTTTAATCTAGATGTTAAAATAAGGTTTAAAATAGAAGGTGATCCAGGTATGGAAATGATATGAAATAAAAAATAGACCATTTACCTTTTTAGTTGAAAAAGTTTGTTTCTCGAGATAAAAATTTGGAGTTGGTCTGGGACAGGAAAACGTCAAGTCATTCTTAAATTTCTTCATTTTGGGAAACCTTATGACTTAGTTGATAAACAGATATGTACATTATATACGAAATATTGTTCAAGAAGCCATAAAATGACAAAAATAACACAAATTATCGCGATTTTCAGCAGATGACAACATCAACAAACATGGCTGCTTTCTACTTCCCGCTCTTTTCCACACCTTTCCCATTATTTGATTGGCTGAGATTTGTTTTGATGGAAATCAGTGATGCGTAAAAAAATCTACCGACAGATTAAAACGAAACGAATATTAAAAGCTTTCGAAAAAGGATAGCTTATACAAAGCTTATCATCACACAAAAAAGAAAATTACTGATATTATCTGAGACGTGTAATTACCATTGGCGAAGAAGAGGCTTTTATTTGAGCCTACTTCCACTATGAATTCAACATATAATTTTTTTATACGTTTTTGCCCCCAAAATATGTTTTAATGCACGGAATTATTTTCAAAATGTTCATGGTAGCGAGAGACAAGGGGGTAGGGGGCTATTTGCAAACTCAGTTTTTGAAAAGAGGCTCAACTATATCGACTCAACAAGTCATTTTTTCAGGAGGGGGCAAATTTCTTTTTAGGTGGGGGGCGGAGAGGGGATGGCTCTAGCCACGGGCCTGCAATCAAAAAAGATTCAATCAAGTCCGAGTGGATCAAATAATTTTATATAATGTTGACATCTAATATTTAAACACAAAACCTACTACATATAAAACTAAATAGAAACATTATATCATTTTCAAAAACTGATGTTTATATCAATACGTTAATAAATAAAACCAATATTCTTACATACAAATAATATATAAACAATAGCCAACAATATCGACGTTATATTTATTATTTTATTATAAATATAGAAAAAACATAGGCTACATATAATATAAAAAAAAATAAATCAAATGATATTGGACGGAAGCATTACTCTTTATTATATGATAAAATTGCTCATATTCTGACAACGTTAAAATTGGAATTCATTCTTCGACAGAAGTGAAGTTGATTCTCTCAACAATTGGTTACCTGCAAATAATAAGAATGAAACTGAGTTACAACTATATAAATAGGTGGCAGAAAAAACGAGTGTCGGTCTAACCATCCAACATTGCAAGGGAAGCAATGACAAAGATAGTGGACCACAGTCATATACGCCCTTCGCGACAAGAGAATGGTAAAAACGAAACATCCATTATAAGTTTCATCAAAATCGGTTGAAAACTAAGAGAGTAATAATAGCATATTCAAGATTTTGGGGCAAGGGCAATAACTCTGCTTCTAACGGTCGAAAATAGCCCAAATTCGAACTTGTCTTCGTTTTATGAATATGTATACACATACTGAATTTCATTTGATTCCATCAAAAAATCTAGTTTTTAGAGCGTTTACGAGCAATTGATGTTGATAGAAGCATTTAGCGTATAGAGGTTAAAGGGCGATTACTTCTCAAAACTGACGTAAGAGGCCTAAATATTGAAAAAGCCTTAAATTTAATCAGAAGTGAACTAAACTTTCTCAAACCTTTAGATTTAGGTCCAATAACATCTATTTTAAGTTTCATCAAAATCGGTTGAAAACTAAGAGAGTAATAGCATATTCAAGATTATGGGGCAAGGGCAATAACTCTGCTTCTAACGGCCGAAAACAGCTCAAATTCGAACTTGATCTTCGTTTTAAGAATATGTATACACATACCGAGTTTCATTTGATTCCATCAAAAAATCTAGCTTTTAGAGCGTTTACAAGCAAATGTTGACGGACGGACAGACCGACGGACAGTTGTTTAAAATTGTAGGATGACCATATTCCACAACACATTGTTAGAGAATTAAAAGTAAGTATAATTTGCTAAAGAAAACTAGAAGTCCTGGTGGTCTCCTATTTTATTTCACATTTTCATAAATATTAGACTCATATGATTGCCAACCACTATTTAAAGATGGGTTCCCTTATTTTTCATTTCCGGAAATGAAAATGCTAATACTTATATGAATAGAAAGTAGAGGTGTTCTAATGACTTGGAAAAATACCAGTTTGTTTCACATGTCCATAATCAATTCATAATTAGATAAATTAGAAGGTAATTACCAGCAGAATTCCAATGAGTGACCGATCAAGAAAGGTCAAAAAGACTATTTTTTTTAGCTTATCCAGGCTATATACATGGACATTTATGAATTTTTAAACTCTTAATGATATGATTAAGAATACATGTCAATTAATTCGAAACACCAATTAATCAAATAGTTTGCTTAATTTGACTTTAGAAAAAATAAGGAAACCTATCTTTAGGCAACAAACCTCCATATTCCATGTGAAATTTTTATTTTCTTGACTCCTTTCTTTGGAACTTCTGAAGTTGTATTTTTCTGGAAAAAAAGTTATATCGGATTAACCTCCCTCTTCACCTTATAGTAAACACATCTCCCAAATCAAAGTTACCATCACAAGGCTAGGCACAGCTGTAAATCAGAGAAAATTAAGTGGTAAAATTAATATCAACGTCCTTGAAATGGATGCGTTACATCTTATAACACTAAAAAAAAAAAAAGTATATAACTAAACTTTTGGCTACCTTAGCTGTTTGTTCCTCTCTTTTCTCTCGTACATTTATGATAATAGATTTAGCTATCTTCAGTTCATCTAATGGCAACTCTTCTATTTTGTTATTGTTTGTGACCTAAATAATTCAAGTAGTATAAAATGAATGATGTCATCAATATGCATGCTAACCTGTCGTGTTTGATTTTCGACAAAACGAATTTAAGGCTTTTCATAAGAAAAAAATCAACATATATTTTAACCGACCTCCAAAATTTCTGTGTTTTGTTCATCAGCAGAAAGTTTGTCGCCAAGTTCAGCCTGAAATTATGCAAAGAAAACGAGTTTATAGTATCTATCTAATATGGTTCTCTGGTTTAGTCACAAATAAAACACTATCTTTTATTTAATATCATTATTCAGATTAACAGGATTAGCACTGTTTTGTTTTGCTTTTTTGACGCTCAAATTATGGATAATGGATCACTTAAGCCTGGAACGCTATGACTACTGGACATATTCTACTCCGGTGATGTGTTTTTTTTTTAAACCAGTAAATTTCGTATTTACCCCGAAAGGCTTTGTAGCATGTGACAAGTTTTGCAGCCTTCTGTAGTCCTACACCCAGACGATTGCGAAGTTTGACCTAAATCAGGTTAAACTTGAAAGAATTCTCTTCTGGGCACATAACTAGCAATACGTATCTTGAAAGCTATACAAATTTCCAACACACATCTGGTTAAGTTTCTGCGAACATTCTTGGATTTCCACGGGCGTTTTTAGCAGCAGTTCAACTACAGGCTGACATAGTTCAGGAAAAATCTGTAGAACACTTTCCCTGGTGGGATCCTGTGCTTCTGCGACAGTTCTTCAGCTGTGAAGCGCAGATAAGTAGATCGGCGAGAAAGTGGCTTGATTAAATCTCTGTTTGGTGGCATCTATGTGGGGCAGCATCTCTGTTCAGCAGCTTCATGTGCAAGTCAACCCACTGTTCACGTTCTTCGGTAGGAGTCTGTTTGCAGGCTGTCCAGTGCTTTAGCTATATTATGTTGCAGATGTACGTGTATTTCTTTGCTTCATTGTGGAAAGCAGCATTTTGAATGAGACCTTTGATTCAATCTGGTCTTCATTCTCTGCATCTTCTAGCAACATGGATGGTCGGTTAGTAGGCTAGAGTAAGCGTTCCACCTTGTTTCGCCAGACAGATCGGAGCTTGATTAATTCATCTTTACTGATGTTAGTTCGCGGGTTGTTAACATAATCCTTGCTAGAAATATATTTTCTGTATTCTGAGTAGGCCTACTGCATCCATATGACACTTTCTTTTGAGTGTTACATTTACACGACTCTGTGGGTATTTCATCTATATAACCCTGCATCCTGAGTTTTTCCATGTGTTTCATCCTTGCTGGATATACTGCATCAAATCTCTAGCTCTTCCATTATATTATGATCTATCATCAAGTCTTGCGTGTTTTATGCCACGTCTTTTGATATCCTGTAGTAAAATAACATCTAGATCAATCTTCTAGTAAATGAACAATACTATCTAGATCAATCTTCTAGTAAATTAACAAAACTATCTAGATCTATCTTCTAGTAACTTAACAATACTATCTAGATCAATCTTCTAGTAAATAAACAATACTATCTAGATCAATCTTCTAGTAAATTAACAATACTATCTAGATCAATCTTCTAGTAAATTAACAATAATATCTAGATCAATCTTCTAGTAAATAAACAATACTATCTAGATCAATCTTCTAGTAAATTAACAATACTATCTAGATCTATCTTCTAGTAAATTAACAATACTATCTAGATCTATCTTCTAGTAAATTAACAATACTATCTAGATCTATCTTCTAGTAAATTAACAATACTATCTAGATCAATCTTCTAGTAAATTAACAATACTATCTAGATCTATCTTCTAGTAAATTAACAATACTATCTAGATCAATCTTTTAGTAAATAAACAATACTATATAGATCTATCTTCTAGTAAATTAACAATACTATCTAGATCAATCTTTTAGTAAATAAACAATACTATCTAGATCTATCTTCTAGTAAATTAACAATACTATCTAGATCTATCTTCTAGTAAATTAACAATAATATCTAGATCAATCTTCTAGTAAATTAACAAAACTATCTAGATCTATCTTCTAGTAAATAAACAATACTATCTAGATCTATCTTCTAGTAAATTAACAATACTATCTAGATCTATCTTCTAGTAAATTACCAATAATATCTAGATCTATCTTCTAGTAAATTACCAATAATATCTAGATCAATCTTCTAGTAAATTACCAATATTAGTATTACCACAAAAAAACAATTGGAGGCTTTAGAGAACCGAAACCAAACATTGATAGCATTGTAGATCTAGCATAAACTGAATAAAAATGGCCAAAATTAGTCATTTTAACCCAGAATATAGCTCTATTAAACTTCTGTAAGTTTGTTATAACTTTGTAAGCAGAAAACTTGGACTGTTTATCTTCTCTGAGTTAGATCTCAATTTTATAAAACATCTCACGGTTGATATAGGCTACAGTTGGTCAAAACAGCTTGTGTTGCGGGATCAGAAGAATTTGATGCTGAAGCAGCATTGGAACACTTTTTTCCTTCTCGGTAGCCTACCATATTCCTTGACACCTTCGCAATATTTCTTAGATTAAATCAATAAGTATGAATTATGGGACTTCCTTAGTCCTTCCGTAGGCATAATAACTAAAATATATATTATGTTCCTTCTAATTGAATCATTCAATTCCTATTGCAAGCAAAAATCAGTAGGCCTATCGCGCCTAAGATAAAGTCCGTGGACATTTGAAGATTATTTCTTAGTACTTTTCCCATGTGATTTAATTGAAGAGAAAAGTAGGGCTTAGCCTAAGCTACATGTCACGCTAAATAATATATAAATGTTGTTGAAAAATATCACACTGTGGTTTAAACTGTTAACGGATTCAAAAACCAGATGACCACTACCGCCTAGGCATATCTCTATTTGTTTACAAGCATACTACCAAGGGATGTTCCATAACTGTCTGAGAGAAAGATAAATTCCATAAATACATACCACTAAATTATTGAGTTCTTCAAATATATCTACTTCCATTTTGTCACATATCTTCCTGTTCCATTCTTCTTGCTCTAATGTTCTCTCTCGTTTTTCTTCAGGTTTTATCTTGACCTTGCTATCTCTTTTAACTAATTGATGTTCCTAAGATAAAAGGAAATACAAAAGAATAGCCTACGTGTCCACAACATAAAGTATAGCCAAGTTGGGCTAATTCTTGTCAAACTTCAAAAGAGACACGGGCTGAAATGTTCAAGTTTTCTGTAGATTTCTAAAAAAAATTGTAGGCTGAATATAACTATCTGATGCTTTATCAATATAAACAACAAGTTTTAAATATGACAATGAATTTTATTTTCATGTTCTTACTTACATAGATGTGAAGAAGCCTTAGAAATATATAGATACCAAACTCATTAATAAAAGCTTCTCTATGACGTTTTTTCGTCCAGTGACCAGGCCTTCGTTCTGATAAAAATGAAACATTTTCATCCATTTGCTACGAAAAACGTTTCGCTGTTAGGGGTCAATTTGCTGATTTGCTAAAATGCTTAATGTAACATTCAAAAATTGCGTCAGGTGTCAAGAAAAAATAGAAAATTTTATTTTGACCTCAAGCCACATATATTTTGATAGATTTTTCACCCAAAAGAGAAATAGATCCTTGCAACAAGAACCTTTTAGTTTTGAATTCAATTCAATATTGATTGCTTAAAACAAAGCTTTTTTATTACCTATATTTGAGGTTTAACAATTTACAGACCTATATACATGTACATGATCAGCAGGCTATCATGTTATAAAGTTGAATTTTAAATCTACGGTTCATGTGAAGACAATCGTTAAAGGGACGGGGGGGGGGGGGGGGGGGGGGGGGGTTTTTTTTTTTCTTTAAAAAAATTTTTTTAC